CATATATTAAAGAAAATGGCATACATAATGAGTTTAGCATAGTGATCGTCCGAAACTAAATATTACTTTTCTGTGCACCTATTAATGATTTTAATGATTTATAAAGTCAGGATAAGGGTATGATTAGGTTTGGGACAAAATTATATGTGAAATTGTCATTCCGACATTTTTAATAACTACAAGCCAGATTTAGGCATTGGTTTCTTGTTATATTCATTTTTCATATCTTGTGTAGGGATTTGTTTTTGCCGTGTCGATCAATAATTTGTGCACCCCTATTGGGCATAGATTACAAATGACGCCTACATTATTACGGACTTGGACTCCATTTAGCACTGAAAGCTAATACTTAGACGTGTGACGAAAACGTCTAAAGTTTTCTGGAAAAGAGCATATTCTAATTATAAATTCAAAGAATTTCTTTGAGTTTCTTACTGTAAAATCCATTGAGAAGTGATGCAGATCGAAATTTGTTATAAAAGAAGTCACTTTTCAGTTTTTTTGAGAACAAGTAATGAATTAGAATGAATGTTGCTAATAATACAAATAGTGCCATAGTTTCTACTAATAATGCAAATAATGCAGTTAGAGCCATAGTTTCTACTAATAATGCAAATAATGCAGTTAGAGCCATAGTTTCTACTAATAATGCAAATAATGCTGTTAGAGTCATAGTTTCTACTACAACTAGATCCGTAGATCATACGGCGGAAAACGCATTTTCTTTCTTGCCCGCACATTACGCCGTCTCTGAAACGAATTCTCTGTTGCAACGTGTATGGATATCAAGTGAAGATAATTCTAATGTTCCAGTGCAAAACGAGACATTGGTTTTTACTGAAGGCTCTGTTTTTAAGGAACCTGACTATGGTGTAGATTGTACTTTTCATCACGTCGGCAATGTACCAGATATCAGAAATAACACTTGAAACATATTATTAACGCTAATGGTATGATGATGTATTGTCATTATCAGTGTCTGAAATTAATGTGGACAATGTGAATGTGCTCGCCAATTTTTTCTAAAGTGCATTCACAAAATTTTTTGGAACATACATGTAATATATATTTTTTATATGAAATACTTATGGAGTGTGCACATATTTCAAGAATTATTCACGCTGGTCGTTACATAAGATTATAAGATATGTTGTATGTATTTAAGTTAAACAATAGACATTACACTGACCGAGATTCTTAACGTTATGTAATAGTAAGGCAATCAAGTTTTTTATTTACATGTATTACAAATAACAATAAATAAACTCATGATTTTACATAATTTTTCCGATTCCGGAAAATCGGAAAATTCGACTGTAATCGATTTTTAAGAAACATTTAAGTTAAAGGTTAGTGTTGTGTATATAAAATTGCCTTCCCGAACATTTTTAATCAGTACTCCAAGCGAGATTTAAGCATCTGTTTTCGGTATTTCATTTGTGTCGGATTAAATGCGGTCTTGATTTTTGCTTTATTATTATTGAGATTCTTAATCAAAGTCGTGACACTTGCATTACTTTTTTATGCATATTCCATCCGCATATCGTTAAAATGTATTTCTATATTTGTGAATATTAATCAATTTTAAAATTTAATGCCAAGGTTTGTGTTTTTTACTGTATGATAGCATATACTTAAATCAACCCATATACATGTAATTTATAAATTATAACGAAAAATTCAAGCGACCTAACTAAATCTATTATTAAAACGGCGTAAATTTTTAATCTCTATGAAAATTACCGAGGTTATAATAAAGCAGACCAATGAGTTTTATTTAACACGTAAATATGCATACAAGTATTTACTAAAATACGTATAATATTTTGACGTTACAAATTTAAAATTTCTATAACATCTAGAACACACGTGTATTATAATAAAATAATATTGTGTTGGATTGCATTATTATCATTACGTATTATTTTTATGATATAATATATTTTGCTTATTCAACCAAGCCCGAATTACCCGCATGTGATGAAACACGTTTCGGATATTAATTAATAAATGTGTGTATGTGCAATAAAGAGATAAATCAAGCATGCGATATATTTTTTGATCTTTTGATCGATTATAAAGAATTTATGAAGCTAAAATCTGCTTTTCAAGAATAAAATCTTTAAAATCATTACCAAAATTTATTCTAGCTTACATCTATGAAGCGTTGTTATGACTTTAATACTTAATGACACATGTCCATCCATTAATAGTAATCAACCCAAGGTCCGAGTCATTGCCATATTTGGTACCGCTGCAAGTTCTTCCTCTTAGAATATCTGGTATCATTGGCTTCCTCAAATTAAATTGTCTTGCAGCGGAGACTAATCCATTTTCTAGTTGGGGGGTGTAAATGCATGTTTTGTGTATTGTAATACAATATCAAGGGATAGATGTCATTTAGAATAACAATTGGTTCTAGACCCATTGATTTATGCCTAGAGTATAAGCATTTCTCCGCAACTTATCTGTCCAGTAAATCTCTGATGAAATTATTTATGGATTCCATTTATTCTTAATTAAAGATTAAATTCCATAGAAATCTTTGTTACGTAAATATTTTCAAAATTGCGCATCCACCACGAACATTACTGATTACAATATGTAAATATGATGCTCAAAAGTAATGAATCACGAACATTTTGTGAAAAAAGTTCTAACGTCTTTAACATTGATCTAATGCCTATTTTTCTATACTCATATTAAAGGGATTGTGCCAGTAACTACGATATTAATAATATGGGAAGAATGATTTGAAAGGGACAATTAAAGATTATATGTAATTTTAACAATAGATTTAAGTTGATGAGAAAGTTTCCCAAAGTCACAAGATGGAATATTGATCAATGTTTCTTAACACAGTTAACCTATTCTACAAAATAACGGAACTCTGGTAAAAGCGACAAAACCCGAAGTCGATAATACAAGCAAAAGGCAATGCTGTTTCATTTACTTTGAACTTTATTATAATTTGACTTGTTTAATGCTAAAAAACTATACCAAAATTTATTCTATTCTTACGAAATGATCCAAACACTGTATCAAATGTTCAAAACAATAATCCAAAAAAATGTACCAAAATAATTATTAAGTATGTTGGATGATCTAAAAAAGAATAAGACGTCAAATAAATTCTACTTGTCATTATATATATATATATATATAATTTTGTTGATGAATCACATGTAAACGTTTCAAATGGTGGCCATTTTGGTGCATTTGCGTAATAACCTTTTATGGGTACATGTATATCAGGTCATCATGCATGATATCGTGCAGTATCACTGTCATCGTAAATCGGTTAATCGCAGTCTAATAAACCTCAAGGCTAGTAAATAAGTAACCAAAGTTTTCAAGAAATTGCAAATTTATTTTTTGTGAAATAAATATTTGTGCTATTAAAAAAAGTCGATTAAATTGAGGTTTAAATTTATATCCCACGATTTACGGTATTAATATTTTAAGAAAATTGAGTGATCTAAGACGATTGACAAATCTTATCCGAATGTGGAAATTTCAATTAGTAAATTATTTAATATTGGGCTCTAGCCAATTATGGCTGATTTGGCCTTGCGCAGATTAAAATTCTCGATGATATCATGTTTAAAAACGGGAATAGAAAATATGGGAATGTTGTGGACGCTAGAAATTTTTTCGCAAAATGTGTCGTGATCTATTAGTTTTAAGCGCCACTGTAAATATTGTAACATACAAAATAATAAACTTGATATTAGCGTAAAAAAATCAAATGCACAATTTTTCCGCGCAGAAAATCTTTTTGGAAAATGCATACAGCTCTCAGAATTTTTCCCGCAGAATGATAGATCTCATAAACCACATTCCTTATAGCATAGCGTACACAGAACATTAAGAAGTTCCAAATATTCTGTTTAACAAATTCTTAGAAATAATAACGTCCCAGCTTAAATTATTTTGTTATAATGAGTTAGGCTTAGATAAAAATAATTACACAAAGTAACGGGTAAACAGTGTTTCCGGGAATATTTAATACTTTCTAAGTACAAAAGATAAAGGAATAAAAATTTTTCTGGTTCGTTTTCTATTTATAAAAAAGCATCGAAAAGAACTACCGAAAAATAGATAACAATAAAAATAGATTTGGCGATAAATAGTTTGCTTGCCAAAAGATGGCGTAAGAGTTTAACTTTTTATGAAAGATTAATTTTTCTATAAAAGAACTTACTTCATAGTTCTTCTGTCTCTTCGCAATGATAACGATAATGAATAATATGAATGTCATCGCTAGAACGACTGCTGCTAACAATGCGACTAGAACTGTAACGACTGCTACTAATAATGTGACTAGAGCCGTGATTGTGCGCACGCCAGAAAGCTCAGTAAACTCCTTTTCTTTCTTGCCAGCACATTATGCCATCTCTACAACGAATTCCCTGTTAGAACGTGCATTGACATCAAATGACAATAATGCCAATGTTCAAACGCAAAACGAAACATTGATCTTTACCGAAGGTGCAGTTTTTAAAGTGCCTGACTATAGAGTACATTGTACTTTTCATCACGTCGGCACTGTACCAAATATTGTAAATAACATTTGAAATGTATTATTGATGTTAGTAGTATATGCTGTATAATAAGGCTTTACTTGTATGCTGGCAATCATGTATCTAGTGCTCCGAAGGGGTCGAATTGGGTCGGGTTTTGGACATATTCGTATTCGACCCGAGTATAAAAATTAAAATAT